CAACGCAACATCTTTCTTGTAGTGAGGGGCCCAAAACTGAACACAGTATTCGAGGTGCGGCCTCACCAGCACCGAGTACAGGGGCACTATCACTTCCCTACTCCTGCTGGCCACACTATTTCTGATACAAGCCAGGATGCCATTGGCCTTCTTGGCCACCTGGGCACACTGCTGGGTCATATTCATCCGGCTGTCAACCAGTACCCCCAGGTCCTTTTCCACCAGGCAGCTTTTCAGCCACTCTTCCCCGAGCCTGTAGCGCTGCATGGGGTTGTTGTGACCCATGTACAGGACCTGGCACTTGGCCTTGTTGAACCTCATACAGTTGGCCTCAGCCCATCGATCCAGCCTGTCCAGGTCTCTCTGCAGAGCCCGCCTCCCCTCAAGCAGATCAACACTGCCACCTAGTTTGGTGTCGTCTGCAAATTTACTGAGGGCACACTCAATCCCCTCGCCCAGGTCATTGATAAAGATATTAAACAAGACTGGCCCTAGAACTGAGCCCTGGGCGCTTGTGACCGGCCGCCAACTGGATTTAGCTCCATTCACCACAACTCTCTGGGCTCGGCCATCCAGCCAGTTTTTAACCCAGTGAAGAGTACATCCCTCTAGGCCATGAACTGCCAGCTTCTCCAGGAGAATGCTATGGGAGACTGTGTCGAAAGTAAGGAACCTTTCACATGAGTGCATCTCTGTCCCCTCAGCTGGCAGCTAGTGGGCAATGACACAGGAGCCACACTATGGAGCATACATCTTTCATCAGCTCTGAGTTCGTCTAGGAAGAGAATGTCTGAGTGGAGCTGAAATTTCAGTTCCAGGGTCAAATACATTCTTTCGGAGACAGAATGCAACATCAAGAAATATGTTATTACCAGTAAAAACACACAGGAACACTATCAAGAATTATAGACGGAAGAGACAGGCAGCGGTGTAAATAACACAAGATAAGTATTTATTCAGACAGTCAAATTTACACAACTTATGCTTTTCCAGTGCATACATATATTGGACCAATGTCTGCTCTCAGTAATGGTGATTTAAATTAGGAATGATTTAATTCAACCATGTAGGATCAGATCAGATTTACATCTGTGTAACAATGCACAGTTTGGCTTATCATGTTCAAAATAATAGCTGGGTCGTTTGGAAAAATAAAAAGACGTTTTCAATTCCAGAAAAGGAGAGCAGATCAGAAAAGTATCATCCTTCTTTCAAGCACTGCAAGGACCAGTCCTGACAGCAATTCCAGTGAAAACTTCCATTAAAAAGAAAAACCAAAGCGATGCAGTATTCTCATTTGAATTACCTTCTGCTCACCCTTCTCCAAATTATGCTGACACTTAAATATTCTCCTTCTGGACAAGTCACAAATGATCCCCAGAAGGAAGAATTTCATGTGTTTCATCTCTCTCACCAAGACAAGTAGAAGTGTAAGGAAATTGCGAAAGATACCATAAATGCCAAAAGCAACTAAGCATCAAAGTTGACAAGGGACAGAGTGGTCTACTATATAATGAACAGATAGACCATTAAGGGTCAGCTCACACATAAGAACTTATATTTATGAGCACGTATGGCAGATTTATAATGGCATATTGGAAATATGCAGCTTGCTTTTATTATAGTAAAACCTGTCCTATTCCAACAGCTTCAGCAGGCTGTCGATCAGGATCCTTTATAAGTAAAGGGCACAGGAGTGCTGCATCCCAGTATAGGCTTCACAGAACGATATCCTCTGTTCTCAGAGAACGCTGGCAAAAATAAACGAGGAAATGATCCCTTAGCTGGGTAAGCTGAAGCATCGTGACTGCAACAGCATCTGCTTCACAATATTTTTGTTTCAAATGCAATGTGGTCCTTACCAAGCCTTAGCTGTATTCCTAGCATCTGCAGATTATCTGCTGGGAACACTGAGTAAAACCCAATTTGGATTTCACTGCAACAGTGTTGTGTAACATAGTACAGAGACACATGTCAAAAGCAAGCTTTTATGGAGACTATTAACTGGTTTAACTCCTGCTCCCCTGGTATCCCATTTTTCTGTTTATATGCCTACGTAGTGACAGAGAATTCAGCCTCATGGCACAAACTGGTCAACCGAGCTCCACCAATGCAAAAACCATGCCCAACTCAGCTGCTTGAACCCTCGTTCCATGGGTGTCTCTGGCCAAGAACCACCATGCAAGTCTAAGGAACAGTTTTCTTACTGGATATTATGTGCTGGCAGCTGACAGAGCAGTACATCATTGCAAATAAACCTACAGTCGGTCTCAGATTTCTGTCAGTTTAAGACTGAAGACTTCCACTCTGGCATTCAAAGCTGTATACAGAGCCACAGCTCAAGAGCAAACACTGATAACATTGCCACAATACAGTTTTTTTAGAGATAATACCCTGCATACACTGGAAATATAGCTATCATGCTGTAGCTATGGTTCCCACAAATCAGAAATATATTTAGGATGAATACGTTACAATCATTTGCAAACATGCAATGAATGGAGTTCTGAGCAGTGTCGTTCCTACGGAAAACACCAGTCACTTCTAAAAGTACAACTAGGCATGGTGCAGAGAGTCAGAATGAGCTGTCTGGGCTATTGCTCCACAGCAGGAGCAGAACGGACTGGGTAAGGCATGAAGTGGTGTTGCTCCCATTTGGATGAAGCCTAAATGAACAAAAAAGTCGGCGAAGAGGTTGTGCATGTAGATTTAGCACGCATAGAGCTAACAGGAGCTAACTGGAGCGCTCCTGCCACATCTTGGTGTATCCACACCCGAAAGCATACTACCACCAAATTTAAGAGCTGCAGGCTGTAAATTAAAGACAAGATTGAGACAGGTTTGAAACATATGGTCCATGAAATAATACAGTAATCATACAGCTAAGACATCTCCCTGCTTTACATGGGGTAAATGTGGGTCTCTCTGTACAAAAACATTACTCTGAAAGACAACAGGCTAAATTTTCAGTACATTCATCAACTATTTTTATATTCAGGAATGC